CAAGGTTTTATAGAATTTATAATACTGTTAACGAAAATTAATTCACAGACTCAGGAGAGGGGAAAGAACGCGATACGTCTAATCTACCAGGGAAAGCTGAAGGAACACCATGATACCAAGATTTAGAATAGTCGATTAGTTTGTTCTTCAGTTTATAATTTATTTACCCATTAAGTTGATTTACTCGAGAGGGCAAGAGAAAGGCTTAAAAGAAATTTAAGTGTTAATAATATAGTATTTTCGAAAATTCCATATAATTTAAAATATGGAATTTTAAAAGCAAACTACCCGCATTGAAAAAACACGCACAAAGAGTGGAGAATCTTGCCTGACCCTGCTACCTGACCTCATGTCTATGGATGGCAACGATATATCGATATATTTCTACATATATCGATTATTTTTATCGATATATTTGAGTAATACTTGAAATATATCGATATATTCGTTGAAATGTAACGATACATTCTTTTTTTATTTACGAAAACAATTAATTTACAAAATCTTGACTATACATTTTTCTTATTTATTATTGGCTAAATAATTAAAAAATATCGCTGTCAGTGCGTCAAATTGGATTAGAGATTTTAATTATGTCTAAATCGTGGTCATTGGGTAAACCTAACTTATCATTCTGCCTTCTGCTTCGGCATCAGCATTTGTATCTAGTTTCTGCGCACAATTTTCAAATACGTTTTTATGATGGCACCTTCCCCGGGAAAAAGTCAAAAAGTGTTGTTTGAAAATATTTTAATGGACTGGAAAAAGGAAATTTTCTTCATTTTTGAAAATACAGTTTTTTTGGAGAGAAAGGCAGTACTTACATTAAACAAATAAATTATAGAACTTTGAATAATCTATTATTAAACAGCAATCTTTCCAAATTTAGAACAGCGGAATAATTAGAAAAGAAATTAAACTTGGCTCCTTAAAAATCAAATACTTGAAAAAAATCTGCTTTAAAAATAAATGAGTTAAACTTCAATTATACAAATTGAATATTCCCCCACACAGAATTCTTTGTTGAAGAAGCCGACAGCAACAGAGAGATAACAGGTAAGTAAAATCAGATTTTAAAGTATTTCAAGCGGACGCGGCAAAATAATTTCCAAAGGGGGTTTCTTGTTCGTGATAACGTATTCTCTTTCCACAGGAAGGAAAATTGAATTCCTTTTCCGTTCTCTTTTCTGATATTAAACACATGACTTCCGACACGATCGGAATTTTCCAAAAAGTACGTTTCCCCTGGCAAATTAATGTTTATTGACGTACGTTTAACATTATCGTGTTCTTCCTCTTAATTTCTTTACATGTGCATCATATGCCTACTTCCTATTTGAAATTTCGGTTAGTTTGTCCTTTTTGTTGTTTCGGTTCAATTCGTGGGAGCGAGCGAGGGGTTGTTTGATATTATGTTTTGTGCCCTTTGCTGTGTATTTGTGGTTTAAAAGGTAATTCGGTTGTTTTTCCCCCGTCGGTTCGTTTTCGTTTGATGTATTCACTGTGTTTTTTGAACGGCAGGAAAATTGTTTTGCCTCGTGATATTTCTTCTTGCGTAAAATGAATTTTTCAGACTCTGAGCTGATGAATGATTAAAAATTAGCAAGTTGGTTGCAAAATTCTAGGCGAGTTGATAAACTGATGGATAAATTGTATTACATTATTTTGATATTTTTTCATAGTTGTTACTTTCTTCCTAATTTTGTATCGATGATAAATCAAAACATCTTATATTGACAGCCAACCAATATTTTTTGGTTTATTTATCTTATTATGTTCAGTGAGATTTTTCGGTACGTTTCTTCGATCTTTCTCTTGATACAGTTCCAAAAAATTATGGCTAGATATCAGTAGATGCTTGTTTTTGATGTCTGTTCATTTTTAAATATATTTATATTTGTTTACTTCATTTTAATATATTTGTCCTAGTTATTCCAATAACAACAGAGGATTTGCATCGATACTCGATAAATCAAAACATCGATCTGTCAACAGTAATCCAATATTTTTGGGGTTGGGTATCCGCTTATTTTGAGTATAGTAAGATTTTTGATGCATTATAATACATTTTTTTAATAAAATTTTTCAAAACCACGGATAAGAAACGGTAGTCCATACCATATATATTATTGTTCCATTCCGTATTTTTGGTCCTGATTATTCAAGTAAAATCGAAATGAGGATATCGATTTGCTTGGTATTGATGTTTCCTTATTTTTTACTTTATTTATATTTCGTTAAATTATTTTGATATTTTTGCCCTACATTTCCTTCCATCCTACTTTTCTATCTATACTTGAGGAATGAAAATAACAATTTTTACAGTGATCCAACATTTTTGGGTTTGTGTGTACGCCTATTTTTGAGAGCAGTGATATCTGTTCTGTTGATAAAGTTCTTCAAAATTACGGTTAAGTACGATACTAGACATATTATTTTTACATTCAATGTATTCGTTTTCTGATTATTCCAGTGATCACTAGGGGCTGATGCTAGAAACTCCAGATATCGACAGATTTGGTTTTTGATGTGTTTATTTTTGAACATATTTATATTTTGTTACTTTATTTTGATCATTTTCTCCTATAAAGGCTTCCTTCTTCCGAATTTTGCATCGATAATTGAGAAAAAACATTGTTATGTTGACAGTCATCAATATTTTTACGTTTGATATTTGCTTATTTTTGAGAACAGTTTGATATTTGGTATGTTTCATTGATATTTTTGATGATTCAATTTTTCAAATGAATAGATATCACTAATCTCTATATTATTGTTAAATTTGATTTTTTTGTTTCTGATTATTCCAGTACGAACTAGGTTTGGATACTCAAGCTAGCAATATGTTTGGTTTTGGATTTTTGAGTATATTTATATCTTGTTAAATTATTTTAATATTTAATATTACAATTTAGTTATTTCAATGGCAACTGAGGATTTGTATCGATACTCGACAAATCAAATGTCTGTAGACAGCCATCCAATATTTTTGGGTTTGGGGTTTGCTTATTTTGAAGTACAGTGATATTGGTTGATACATTACATATTTTTGTAGTTAGTAACAGCAAAAACAAGTAACAAATCCTGATAACTGAAATCTGAATATCGATATTATATGTGCTTATTTTCAAGTTATTGATTGTTATTGTTAGTACAGTTATTCCGGAAAAAAATGTACTTCTAAATATCGATATTTTTTTGATTTTGTGATTATCCTTATAACTGGAACGATCCAAGTTCAACAGGTGTTTAATGTCTTTGATAAGTACAAAAGATTATTGGGATTGTTAGGGTTAATAATTAATGTCAGTTAATAATTTTAATTTAAAATTATTTTATTACAGTATTTATTAGTTTTATAGTTGTGTTACAATTCTCATTTTTCGCACGTCCAAAATTGAGCGGCACGAAAAACCAGCTGCTCATTGTAACGTCGCATTGGCGGTGGATTTACAATCCTACAATTCCCGTTTAGAGATGTATTTGTACCTTCAGGCTGATGATGAGTATTTAATGCTTGAAATACGTATAGCTTCCTAAAACTTCTGTAACTAGAACTATCTATTCCAAAAAGTGAATTGAAATACTCACCTCTAAAGATTTTCGTGTTAATTTCACAATGCTTTATCAGGTCTGATTCTTACGTTAAGAACTCTGAAATCAATGGACACCCTTAAAGTAGGACGGTAACCGACGTCCCCATGGAAACCTTCTTGTATTAAGTTTGAAAGCGATATAATTAGGCTTGAGGCTAGGGATCTTCCGCCCTTTACCTTTCAACGCCTATAGATCATAACTGACTCGACGTAAATAAAGTTATACCAATTATTTCTATAAATAATAATTGCAATAAGATCCTCTTCAGCATTTTCCACTAATTGTTTTAAGGGTTTTTCTTTAAACTTATTTCTGTTTATGTGTTGCATAAAAAAGACCTATGCGACGGACTAGAAGGCAATTTTGGCAAAGGGTTTACTTTTCAAAGGTATGACAGGATCTCCCAACTCAAGAGAGGATTTTTCTTTTCGCTTTAATCTCTAAACCCTATAAGAGACCTCAGACTTAATCTCTCCAACGCAGACCTTTCAATGTAAATATTTCCATTGCTTAAACAGAAAACCCCTTAGGAGGAAAAACAGTACTATTCCTGAAAAAGCATTTCAAATTTTTACTCTTGAGAAACCTGAATTAAATCGGGATATAGAAAGGAAAATGTGTAAATTATTAAAATGTCTAAAAATTTGTCTGTTCTATGAAGAACCTACAACAAAAAATGCGTATTTTTGTAAATGGGGAGAAACTACTTGCCGAAGTTTAAGAAAAATTTCAACCGATATTCTTTTTAAACGTAGTTCATACCGCAATTCTTCGTTCATACATTATTGTATTATACTGAATATAACATATTTTTCAAGGCCGGCCAATTTTGTTACAAATTGTTTCTGTACATATTAATAATCTGTTTTAACTCGAAACTACCAAAAACTCGATTGTTTTCTGCTATAGTGGGAGAAAAAAAGTCAAATCTATTGCAATTTCCAAATTTGCGTACATAAAGAAATAGGTACTCATTTATGAAAATGATGGCTGTCTTGATACGCAATGTACATTAGTAAAATTTGAACCTTTGATGTTTTGTCAACCGAAAAAAAATGTAACCCTTCTGTGTATGAACTGTACGTTGTAATAGGTTTTGTATTAAAAAAGTCTAAATAACAAAGGTGGTGAACAAGTAAACAAAGTTTAATTTCGATTTGATTTTTTTTTAATTATCCTTAGAATATGTTTTTTTTAATAGTTTACGTCATTTATTTTAAAACCCAATTACAAATATAGAAATATAACAATTGTAATACATTTACATTAATAACAGATCTTCAAATCACATTAAGTCAAATCATTGTTTTCTCGTTTGTTTTATTAATTGAATAAAAATAGTATTTTTGATAAAATTCATTCTATGTTGAACTTAATTTTATAATTTTCTATATAACAGAAAATTGGAAGAAAGACGCACACAGAAATTTATTTTAATAAACACATTGAAATAACTCAGAAAAGATATGTATCAATAAGAATAAACCTCTTTGCTTTTATATGGGGGTTGGGGGTTGGAAGGAAATGGCCATCCTCGAGCACACCTGTGAAATTAGAAAAAATGGCATAATTAGAAAGAGAAATTTGAAAAGAAATGAATAAAATAGATTACCTGAAAATTTATTCTTTTTCTCCTTCAGAGTCCCTGGCAGGGCTCACTGAAGAAGAAGACTCAGAGCTGGTGGAGCGAGAGGAGGATTCTTCCGAATCGGTCGATTCGTAGTCTTCGTCCTCCAAGGCCTCTCCTGTGAAGTAGAGGACTGCGTGCGGGACAATCCTTTCCCTGATGTAGTGCCCTAATTCAAAATCCGCCGAAATCAACGCCTGGGCTTCTTCTTCCATCTCGGCGTTTGGATCGTCCGGTATCTGGGGCGGGTTGAAAAAGTTGAAGAACGACTCGGCCTGGACTTGCTTGGAGATGGTTCTCACGGCCGCCCGCGAGTGGTGTTTCTGTCTCTTCTTCACAGTCTTCACAGTCACGTCTTTCCCGTTGTACCAGTCGATCTGGCACCCTCTGCACTTGTAAATCTCGGGGCCTTCGAAACTGAAAGGGTCGTCTTCCTCTGGTTTGCACTTCAATTCGTACTCTTTGGTGAGGACTTTGTTGGAGAAAAACTCATTCGGGGTGAAGTAGAACTCCAATTTGAAGCTCATCGGGTTCTCGACGAGGTCGACTTTCACGTCGTGTAAGTGTTTGAGAATGGGCTCGTCGTGCGGTTGGACCATCTCGTTGAGCATCGCCACATTTTTGAATATAGTCAACCAGAAATCGGGAATGCCGGGGCCGTCGGCTTTGATCTCGCTCGAGAGCTTCTCGGCGAGTTCACCCGTGATTTCGGGTACCGGGTCCTCCGGGTACAACTCTTCTTCGGACGGCTCGTACGCGCCGACAACAATCTCGTTCCTTTTGTTATTCAAAGCTTTGTACTCACGGCTGTACCGGCATTCCATGGCATGCACCTCCTGGAAGAATTTCGCTTCCAGTTCAGCCGTCTTGGCCTGCAACGTCTTCAAGGCCCTGAGCCGTTTTTTGACTTTTTCAGGCAGCATGTGCACCATGAGTTGCGATTCCCGTCCGTACACATCGGATGATATCCTTTCGCCCGAGCTGTCCCTTTCCTCTCTATCCCTCGTCGCCACATCTCCGCCGACATCACCTTCGGAACTCATTTTTTTCATCTAAGACGCTGGTTTTATCCGGTATTTGATTAACCTACGAACAAAACACGGTTTCTAAACCATTTGGTAAATGCCTGGTAAATGTTAAAAATAAATTATTACAACACATGACCGGAAAAGCAGTATTATTTAAATTTTTCATTGGCCGCTCGTGTTCATTTGCCTATGGCGGAATGAACTGTAGTGTAAGTTCTTTAGGACATTTTTCAATAATTATTAATGCTTAAAAACATCAAAGCGAGGACAAGAAAGAGAAATAATTGTGGTTTTTTACATTTACCTGCAAGGCTCTGGTTTTATGTAAACAACTTTTCATAAAGTAACATTTTGAATATTTTTAAAGACTAAAACATTGGCAACACAATTTAGAATCGAACCCCCGCCCCCAATATTTAAATAATAGTAATAAACTTATAATGTATAGCTAAACCACTTAAAAAATTCGATGGTTATCGATGAATAAAACTTTTTTTAACTTGGTTTTTACATTATAAAACTTAAAAGTTTAAGTTTCACATTTTCTCTTTCTTAGTATTTCAGTATCTCAACTCAAACCTCGAATAACTTTAGTACTTCGAACATCCTTGGTTATGTTCGTATTGACAAAAAAATTTATGCGTTATGTTTCAAATGTATATTTGATTCTCAGAATAGACGTAATTTCCTCAGTTTACTCTATAGTAAAAAAAAATTGAATTTACTTTAAAAAGACATTTTTTACCAAAATCAGCTGTTTCATTCTCATCTGTATATCAAATAACTTGTCTTTAATGCGTCTTAAACATTATTTGTAATACAAGTAAATGTAAAATATGACAAAGTACTATCAAAAATGTGTTACGGCGAAACGATCCTTTCCGATTATTCTATACGTAAATATTAATTACTTAACGAGTTTCTTATGAACAGAAGACTTCCTTGTTTAAAAAAAAAACTTATGTGCGTTTAGGCTTGGTAAAATCAGAACACCAATAATCAACGTATTTTATTTAGAGACGGTTATTTTCCAAAATGATGGCTATGTTTCGCTTTTAAAATGAAATCAATATGCCAAGTATTGAAAATTCAATGTGAAAATATTAGTTACTAGCTAATAACGGCCAAGAACTACTTTTTAAAATCCAACCGACGGCCATAATTTACTATTGCTAGATCTCAAATCCAGAGGTGGGGAAAAAAGCCTAAATCCTACTTATAATTACCTTGTTTTCCCGCAAAAACAACGAATGTAATCACGGTTTCTGCATTTCCGTTGTGTTCAGGGCGATACCGAGAAAACAGTATTTCACTACACCAGCTTAATTTGAATATTTTGACCGAACACGAACATCAATGTACAACTGGTAAATGTGTTGTATCAGCTGTTAGAATCAATTGTTACAATATTTTTTCTCAACAGATCCGCTTTTTTATGATTTTATAATTTTCTACTCATTTGAAACGCAAACTGTCAAGAAAACCTGGAAAAGTGGGGTGGAGTAAATTAAATTCTCAACACTTTGTTAAATGGTTGAGACATGACTTACGATTTTATATTTTAAATTTTTACTTTGTGAATTATCTTTGAGCTTAACAGAGTGAATTTCAAAAGGAAACCTTTTCTTCCATTGTAAAGAAATGCCTCGCATGGAAACAGTTTTATCAATGTGAATGAACAAACTGAACATAATCAAACAACTGCAATGAGAACCCCTGAAAAACCTTTTACTTTAATCTCATCAAATGTTCCTTATGACGGGGCGGGAGAGGGTTTTCAACAAGAATCTCGTTTAACACAAAATTGTAATAGATACAACCCTAACAAAAACGGCATTCTGTTAAAAACCAAGCATCAACTTTCTCATTTTGCACTTCCTCTGAAATATTTCAACCAGTAAAGCCATCGTTAATTATTCTACACCATTATCGAAAATCGCCTTCAAACCAGTTAATACCCAACCGCTGATGAAAGTCGTTTCGCTTGTTCTGAGAAATGAACGTTATCAGAATAACGAGCGATTAAAACTTTACGGTAAAACATTTGCAAGTTTTTTGGTCATGGTTTCGTGACTATGTACACAAAAGTTGTACTATTTCATAAACGTTATGTTCTCCCCTTCTAATCCTTGTGGTAGGGATGATTTTAAGGATTGTGTCCAGGTTAACCTGTCGCACTGCAGTTCCCGGCTTCTGCAAAGCCAATAAGGATAACAAACGTATACTAGATTAGTGAAAAACCATGTTGAGTGAACTAAAGAAAACAGGTATTATTGGAAATATAATAGAATAACACAGTGATTCCCAAACTGTGCGCCGCGGTTTCCCGGAAAATTTTTTATAAAAATATTATTTTGATATTTATAAAACAAAACCTAAAAACTAAACCCCCTTTATAAACCCAAAAATCTAATCCCCTATGGATGTTAACGAGACAGCTGCAATTGTGTATTTGATATGATTACCCAAAATAAAGTATTCGCTTTTATATTTTTGCTATTAAGTGCGTAATCGCTTTTCAACAGATTGTTTTTTCAATTTCCCAAGGAGGTCAGTAGTTTTGATTAAAAATTGCAGACAAAATAAGATGTTTAGATATATCAATGCTTTTTAAAAAAGATAGTTCCTAAGATTACTTACTGTGAGTAGGAACTATCTTTGTTAAAAAAGGATTGAACACCGCACTCATTCCATCATTCATCATTTCTATATAAATGCTTTTCTGAATTGAAAATGGATTATTACTATTATCATAAATCCATTATATTTCGTGGTCCGATTGATCAAATAACTTCTTTCTATTAATTAATTTTCATATAAGGTCTTGGTTGTGATAAAAAGTCAGTGTCACGAGCGGGGTTCGAACCCACGACCTTCGGCTAAATACGCCGCTCATCTAACCACTTGAGCTATCGTGACTTCGATCCACTCGGACACCAACCTTCCCATCTCAACCTACCTCTCGAATTTTCCTCCGCTTCGCCGTTTTCCAAATGTCATGTAATCTATTTGATTCTCGGCGACAAATGAAATGGCGGCTCGGAGAGCTTTAGTGAAGATATACTACGTTTTACTTATTAAATCCATTGTATTTCGTAGTCCGATTGGCCAAATAACTTCTTTCAATTAATTAATTTTTATGTAAGGTTTTGGTTGAGATAAAGAGTATAGTAGAGCAGCGGCGTATTTAGCCGAAGGACGTGAGTCCGAATCCCGCTCGAGACAATGACTTTTTTATCTCAACCAATACCTTACGAAAGTATTATTCACGCTAAGTTCACGCTGAGAGAGACCATTGTTTTGAATTTGGCGCCAAGGGAAAATTCTGATATATTAAGGGAGCCGGAAACAAAAAACTTTGCGAACCGCTGTAATAACCAATACTATTGTTTATTATTTCTTGGAATAAAGGATCTTCGATGAGGTCACAACAGAACGACAATTCTTTATGTTTTTGTCGAGCTTTCGACGATCATATCGTCATCATCAGGGCTTATTTATTAGAAAATATCGCAGTTAGAGTGTTTTTTTGTAAATGATATAACATGTTCTAACTGCGATATTTTCTAATAAATAGGCCCTGATGATGACGATATAATCGCCGAAAGCTGGGCAAAAACTTAAAGAATTGTCGTTCTGTTGTGACTTCATCGAAGATCCTTTTTTTCCATGTTGTTCAACAGCAGGTCGATACATCATATCATCTTTAATTTCTTATTTCTATATAGAATATAACAAAAAATAATACGAAAAAAGGGTGGTAGAAAGACCCATGAACGCCTTCCCGTGGGAACTTTCATATGGATTAAAACCATTTGTACCGATGTTTTGATCCATATATTGCCCTTTGAGAGCTATGACTTTGAGGTTGGCCTCGTGGAGTGATTGTATGGGATTAGAGTACGTATACACGAGCCTTCTACGATGCATGAAATGCGCCGACTAACCTTTAGGTTCATTACTAACAAGCGCTGGCCAATCCAGCCAACCTGAGAACTAATTCATTGCCTTTTGGGGAGGCAAAGGTGAAAAATAAAATTCAAAACTCAGTTCGTTTCTATGGCTGATGTAGAAATTATAATTTAAACAAAATTATAATTTACAAAGAAACAACGTAGACACTAGTCAGAAATGTGTGGTGTTTAGTGACCGTTAGTTAATGATTATTTGGAGATCGTGATATGCGGTCTGGTGTGACGCAAGTTTTAGAAAACCATTTTCTTTATCGTGCCAACGTTTCGATCTTTATTGAGATCGAATATGAATGAGAAATTTTAGATTCAATCAAAGAATTTGTACTCACTCAAAGTGTTTGTTTTCTGGGTACATGTGTCATTCTTGTTTGTCGTGTTGAGAGTGCAATGGTACATCTACACAGAAAACAAACTCTTTGAATGAGTACAAATACTTTCATTGAATCTAAAATTTCTAGCATTGTATAAATTCATTTTTTTTAACATCCTACATGTAATCGTAAAATTTAAAAAATGTTATAAATCCCAGGCCCTGAAGATGATCCGAATAAAGATCGAAACGTTGGCACGATAAAGAAAATGTTTTTCTAAACCTACTTCACACCAGACCACATCTCACGATCTCCAAATAATCAACCACTAGTCATAAAGATGAATAAAGATGAAATATAAACTATTAACTACATTGATCTGATAATTAAATGGCTAAAAATATCAAGAATTATCAATAATTTGACGGCTAGTATAACTATTTAACTCTTATGAGTCTTCGTTCCGAACCATAATCGTGAATAAATTTAATATTAGCTAACTTTAACCATTATTATCGCAACAAAACCAGAAAAAATGAATATACAAGAACAAATTTCACGCATACACAAATGTCTATATTGACTCGAGTGGTGTTTGTGTCAAAAGCGACAAAAATGTGAATCGAGGTAATTCAGTTCACAAGGCATGTTCATCATACGTTATATTCCGCGGTCGTCGCATGTTACCTATGACACTAGATGACCTTATGCTGCACAGCATCTCGTCATATTACACTATCTTCATAAATTATATTACACCCCCGTCACATGCATCGCCGTGCACATTACTGGATCGCCGTGAATTATATTTCCCGTTCGTCAACATAATATAATATTACACGATCGCCTTATGTCACATGACACACACGTCCCGGCATATTACACGATAGTTGTGCATTATATTACACACATGTCACGTGTTATTTATTACGCAATTGACTCATGTTTAAAAAAACAAGCACGTCTAGTAATATTAAACGCCTGACTGTTAAATCATACGTACGCCGAATGTTACATGACACGATCGCCATATCTTAGGTTGTTACGATACATGCTGCAGCATATTGCAAGATTGTTGTACATTACATGATTGCCGGTTCTTGTGTTACATACATGCTGTGTCATATTACACGCTCTTCACATGTTACACTACAAATTTGTGCGTGTGCGCCTTTAAAACCCGTGAACTACTTTCTAACGAGAATAAATGTTTGTAGATAAAGATTCTTTTTAATGAGATAGGTCTACAGAAAATTGGTACAATACGTTGCAGAAACTAAGAGTTACATCATAAAAATTTGGATGGAGCTTTCTCCCCTTAAACCCATTTAAATATTTCGTAAACAAATAATTTAAAAAAGCCATCTATTGTTCATGCTGAAGGAAACCTTAAAATAAAACTAGTCCATAAATTGTTTTAAAAAAATTATTCCTTTCAAGTAACAAAAGTTTATTAAAACGTTAATTCTTATGTCTTAAAAAATACTTTAAGCTACCGACAATTAAACACTTTTAGTTCTAATGAATATAATGTATGTTAAGCTTATGAACCGTATTTGTTTCGCAGTAAGTAAATTTAGAACGGTTTATGATTTATATAATTTTATGAACCTCATAATAGAGATTCATAACTATTCTTTGGCAAATGTAAAGAATAATTACGATAAATACATATTACTTAATTTTATAGTTATATATACATTTACATATGGGATGTTATTGAATATATACTTTGTTTACAAATGCGTTAACCGCGAGTAAACAGATGTCGGCATTCCCAAGCGTAGCTTAATGGAAACCTCAGTATTCGAATTGTTCAAAAATTAATCCCATTAGCCAACCGTCTGAACGAAAGGATCTCAAATAGATATTTATCTCATATTTATTCAATTGTTTCAGTTTGGAAAACACTCCGTGAGAGGTTGAGATATCTTTTAAATAGAAATGAATAGCCTATTTTTAAGCTAAGTATTGCCAAAAATGAACTGGTTGGAGACCCCTATAAATTATTCAAGGCAATCAAATCGACGAGAGGACAATTTAAATAAAATTTTGCTTGGCCTACTGAAATTGTCATAGGAACAATTAATACAGAGTTTTTCTTTTTTTGTACAGATGTGGTGATGGCTGAAGGACATGGCGGCAGTTATTGTCTTCTACCTGACCTTCAGCTTGGTTTTGGGGGAAGAGCTGCTCCTAGGATACCTCACCGGATCACAAAGAAGGGAAGGGGATAATGAGTATTCCAGGCCAGGACTCACCATATCCGGGGCGATATCCTTGGCCGTTCAAGAGCTGAACGAAAGCCTCCTGAAGAACAACAGCAAGCATTCTCTTAGGTCTGTATATCAAAAATTAAAAATTATAAAAACATTCGAGATGTTTACATATTTCTCGAATAAACATTTAAAAGTGGTATTTATCGAGAAAAATTGTTAAGAGAAGACAATTTGAAAAAGAATCGTGCTCATGACAGCAGTTTGATCGAAATTGATTGCCTCCCATCCACCCTCTCCTGTTCGATTCTCAGATGAGGTTTGCCATTATATCCAACCTATGTCAGTCTTTATTAAGAAACAAAACCATACTATTTGAAGTAACAATGAACATAAAAAGACAAAAAATACATTTCTTCCCACGGTTTTACCATTTAATAGAGACAGTTGTTAATTCAAGTATAATATAATTCTGCGTTAATGGAAGAATTATTTTTGGGCCTTATTATCAAAGCTAAATTTAATGCCTGAGAGCCAAAAGCCTTTCCTAATTTCTTTTTAATTAAAACAAGATTACAGTATTATTATTTTTTTAATATAATAACCCGCCGCCTTACTTATAAATATGAATCCCTTTATTATAAATTAATTGATTTTTTCTTTTTAGCATTATTTTATGTAAATTGAGTATTCAAAATCTTAATATGAATGACGTCCTTCCAAAGGTGTCCCATTCCGTTTTTTCACCATCTTATAAGGTGACTAAATAATATAATAAATAGATGAAACATTGAATGAGTGTTAACAGGACTTATGTTTATATAAAAATTATATCAATAGTAATCCCCAAACCTGTACTTTTCTACTGGTTCTTTATGTATATTTTAATTTTTATTATCATATTTGTCACGTATGTCGTAGAAAATAGAAGAAATTAATTCAATCAATTTTTTTTTGCATATATTTCTTATCAGACTTGTCAAGATTGTAAAGTTTACTCTCAATATTGTTTGTTGTCAGTTTTATTCAATTTGCGCCCATTTTCTTATTTTTGGAATCGTAGTTATTTCTCCTTTTACACATAAACTTTCGTCTAGTGTGTTCGAGCTGTGCTAATGGTTTTCTTATTTCCTTCTTTAGTGAAGTACAGAATTATGCTCAGGGATATGGCATCGAGGTCTTCATTACTCAGGAATGACTTCTTTGGTTCTCTAGCATTTTCCTAACTATTGTATACCAGGTAGATAGAATATGTGTCTCTAGACATAGTCGACATTGGTCATTTGCTAAAAGTCCTTTTTCCAAGCCGTATATTTCAGGAGCATTTGCAAATATTCTCCTTAGGATTTTTCCTTTTCTTTCTGTTGAGTAGGATTTCCTTTTCCCATAGGGTCTTAAGAGTATCATACTTTCCCTGTATTTGTTGTGATCATTAGTTGCCAAAGAGTCCAGTTATTTTTCAATGTGGCCATTGATCATTCCACAAAATGGATTTCTTAACTTGATTCACTAACGTTTATATATATNATAATAATAATAATTTTTGTCACTTTTTTAAATTTGTGCTTATATTTAAATGATATTTCCTTCTTAGTGGACCAGCTGGATGATCCAAATATTCATTTTTTAACTAGTGTTTAGCGTGGATTTGGCAGTTTTTCGATTAATCATTTTCAATGATTTTTATTCGACAAAACTACCAAATGTACTCTAAACAATAGTTAAACAACGTAGTGTTTTTCTTGCTGTTTCTTCTTCTTTTGGAATTATTTATTTAACTTATTTTATTAAATGTGTGTTTTTTAGTGATCATAGTTCATACAACAATCTCACACAACACCAATATGGCATCACAAGAATAGCATCACACTTTTTACCCTGTAGATGACCCGATTAAAGATCGAAACGTCGGCAAAAAATTTAAAAAACGTTTTTCTAAACTATCTCAATCAGACCGCTCCTCACGAATCCAATAAATTATTCTATTAAAATTCTTTACTTAAAAAACAAAAGTAACAAAAAGCTGCTCCAGCGAAAAATCTGTCTGATGAGTAGGACAGAGCCGAAATGCATTTCAATACTTTCTTCCTGTTTAATTTGTTGATTTGTGTTTTGTCATGTTGATTATTTTTGCAATATCAACAGGATATCAAAATATCATTAAATGAAGAAAAATATAAAATTTCTTTATTTTCCTATTTCTCTTGATATCTTTTAGGGAGTATTTTTTTGAGCTCGAAAATATCGTTTCTATACCGAATGATATTACCTTTTATTTTCTCTCATTCTGTTAATCGCAGTGAACACTTTATCTACGTTTTTGGTGTATTGCTAAAATGCTGCACAAACTGCAGTTCCTTTACGGTTTTTTTTTTTTAGAAATTTCCCTCGGTAAACTTAAATATTTTTGTCTCTAGACGTTCTAGTTCAAATGTAAGAAAATCGCCATGAAAAATGTGTTCAGTACTTTTTTATATCGTATCACTGTTAATTGATATAATTTTTTTTTTCGCAGATAGCCTAATATTTTTCCGTGTGTATTATACCTGCGAAATAACTGATGGAAAAAAATAAAATTAGGGCTTGTACGTGAGCCATTCACTTTACGAGCCAGTTGTCACAGTAATGGCAGTGTATCAGGATTTTCGTTGGACACGTTTCCACAATAAACCCCGAAATTGTCAGAAAGTCCGAACCTTTTAATAAACATTGTTGCCCTTTTAAAAATCGTCCGGCGATGCTAGCGAAAAGAGTAATTTAAAAAAATTCAATACGCATAATTTTCTTTTGTCATTAAAATAATCACAGAATGAACGAATTCATTCATTAAACGCAGTTTAACTATTTGTTTTAGAAATGTTTGCATCAACTGATATACTTTTAGATATACTGAACTTTAAGATCAATAAAAAACACAGTTTTATCATTTTTTTCCTCGAAATGTTTGCATCGATTGATATACTTTTAGATATATTGAACTTTAAGATCAATAAAAAACACAGTTTTATCATTTTTTTCCTCGAAATGTTTGAATCGATTGATATACTTTTAGAAATATTGAACTTTAACACCAATAAAAACAGTTTTACTTTTTTTTTCGAAATGTTTGCATCGATTGATATACTTTTAGAAATATCGAACTTTAAGACCAATAAAAAACACAGATTTACCATTTTTTTCTCGAAATGTTTGCATCGAAATGATTGCATATGCTTTTAGAACTATTGAACTTTAAGATCAATAAAAATGGGCGAAACCCTAAAAACCGACCACTATCAAAGTTTTTTCCATTGTAAACAATCCGAAAGCTGAAATCGACAGACAAGTTGCAAATATAAGAGCCCGGTTTCGGTCTGAGCAAACACGTAAAATTGGTTTGATAATGAAACACGTTTGTAAACAGACGATATTGGTTTCGACCGTTCAAATGATTCAAAGATACGCATCGGTTATGAATACCGAATTGTTTAAACATCACTCGACTACATGAAAATTCGTACTGAAACTGACTAAAATCATAAGGCATTCGCTATTTATCTAATAATCTGAATTTCATTGTAAAAGTTAATTAGAAATGTGTGGTGTTTAGTGAATAAATTTTAAATTACGTAATAAATGATTATTTGGAGATCGTGAGATGCGGTCCGGTGTGACGTAGATTTTAGAAAAACATTTTCTTTATCGTGCCAACGTTTCGATCTTCATTGAGCCCTGAAGATGATCTCAATAAAGATCGAAACGTTGGCACAATAAAGAAAATGCTTTTCTAAAACCTACGTCACACCAGATCGCATCTCACTATCTCCAAATAGTTAATTTTAAAATAAAAAAAGCCCAGTCTAGCAACTCCTACAAGGTTACTTAACTTTTAATGTTCAATATTTCATAGGATTTAAAATTGAAAACAAAGAAATATAGAAGAAAACACTTTGAACTAAGCATACAATTCGATAGCCCTATTTTGTTAATTCAAGATTGTTAACTACAATTACGACCCATTCGTTTGACGAGGGTAAAATGCGCTTGAATGAAGAAAATTGTCTTGCCTCTTCCAACTTATATCCCTGAATCGACACAGGACCATCAGTTTTGCCTGTTGATGATAATTAGGTAAAAAAGAAGTTTACTTCGAAACAGAATTGAGTAAAGGTGTTTGGGAAATAATTGTGAAATTCAATAACGTTTTCTAATTTAAAATTCCAATAAAATAATTTTATTTTCGTAAGAAGTTTAATGGTACAACCTAATTAGATCAGATGGACGTGGAATAATTATTACACGGTTCTATTAATTCCCGTGGGAGGACCCAATTAAACACAATCATATTTGACCCAGTCGGCTTTTATTTTCTCAATTAGAAAGATCGCCAAAAGGAAAAGGTCGATAAATAAAGTACTTTATTGGGACTGATTTAATCACTGAATAAAGTCTATATTAAGCTGCTCACACCGAGAGGTGATACACGGAGACAAAATTTGCTCCAATTTATGAATTGCGTTGATCAGAAGTTCCTTTATCCAATTATTTTGGGAACGATGCTAATAAATTGGCTATCTGGTAAAAATCATTCGTGATATCGCTCTAGGAATGTGGCCATGTTTATCGCCTGGCTTCCAGCCAGAATAAAGTCATGGAATTTTACTACCATATTAAACTGATCACCCTAAATTTTATAACAAATTATGTCTTTATGTTTAGATTCATCGTGGCGGAAACGATGGGCGAGGAGGCGGTATCCATTCGGCAAACGGCATATTTATGGACTCAGAACATCACAGGCTACATCGGTCCTCAAGAGACTTGCATACACGAAGCCCGGATGGCAGCAGCCTTCAATCTTCCGATGATATCTTATGTAAGTGTTGAAAATCAAACTCATAAATAAACACTGTCAGTGTTGGAAAAGTTTGACAGGTTTTCGGTCGTTATTTCCCAACGCACAAAACGATGTGAATAGCTCATCAAAAATGGCATCACTTTGTGAACTAAGCGTACATATCTTTTCTGCCAATTCCATGTCCCCTTTCTAATCCCATCTATCAATGTTTATGGAAATTTCAGCTTTGTCAACTTAGAATAGAAGGGGAAAACTTTGCAACAGTATGACAGCAATTGATTGCTTTGTCCATGGACTCTTCTTAGGCAATTTCATCGGTTTCCTCATGAATAGGAAGCATATTTTTTCTTCCTACGAAATTAGAAATAGAAAGAAGGAGAACTTGTCCTAACGAAGACAACGGTTCCTGAGACAACTGTCTTCCAATTAATGAAAATTGAATCTTTTAATAGAATTGTCTAGTCCCACTAGAATCACTCTGCAAACAGAATCAAGATAAATTCTCATTAAAAAGCTCATTCTACGTCATTTATATAGAGGACGTGGCCGATTTATATTAGTACTAATACTACTCTATAATGCTGTTCGTCATCAAAATCGGTTTTATTCCTTCTGTGAAAAGGACCACATTCAAAAATATGTTTTTTGCATTGATAATTGGGTTAATATCCATAAAACGTGGGCTATGACTCTCGATCAAATCGTAAACACGTTGAATACTAATAAGATGGATACATGTTCAACAACTATTCAACCCCTACAACTGGACACAAAATTTGTGTGGAACAAACGTTTGTTTATTTAGTATGACATTATTCAAAATGGGATGGAATTCAATTAATAAAGTCGCTTAATTGACTATGTAAAAAAATGTGAATCTATCAGACTTACAAGAGCGCAGGATCACAAATATCAGAGAAACATTTTGGTGATGCCATGTCGAAATCGCTGTTGTCAAGGGGCCAAATACAGTTCAAATATATGCGTATGTGGTATTTTGTTCAGAACTCTATGCAGAGCATACAGGAAAGAAAAAAGAAAACGGCGATCGCTGGTTACTCGGTATTACGGATTAAGGGATGAGAAGGTCTTAAGGTTATATCCTGAGTGGTTGCAGTAATTGGACAGATTTAGTTGACACTCTGAACAGATTTCGGTTCTAAAAGTTATCGCGTTTGACCAAGTCTTCTTTTAATTTGATGACTCTTAAGTGTTGTGTAGGTATTCCACATCAATCGTCATCAATCTGCTGTCTAGTTACAGTCCTATCTATCTTGCTAGGACGTCAGTGTTGTAGATGTACACTGGAATTCAAGACGAGAAGATTTCAATATATGTAAATGCATGTGTGTACTTTTTTCTCATTCAATCTTGTAATCAACTGTTTGCATCAGTATTTGGTAAGTTCAGGTTTTCTAGGATGTTGAATGTTGCTTGGATAAGATTCAGGTTACACGACAAACTGTCATCTGCATAGGTGGTAATGGGTGGTAATGATGGTGTTGAGATGTATGGCAAAGTCCGTGATTATTTAGTCAGCTGAATATTTTTTTATTCAGCTATGTTAATATTAAATCATTTTTCTGCATGTTATCAATTTTCTGCATAATTGTGTCATTCTTGTGTGTTATTATTAACACGACATACAAAACAAACACTTTGAGGCCTGAAGATGATCTCAATAAAGATCGAAACGTTGGCACGATAAAGAAAATGTTTTTCTAAAATCCTACGTCACACCAGATCGCATCTCGCGATCTCCGAATAATTGACTAACGGTCACTAAACACCACACATTTAAATATTAAATTTGAATGTATAAGAATTGAAAAAATAAGATTGAAATCAACAAACACTCATCAAAAGTTTTTATTGTATAACTCCGGTTCTAATTGATTTACAATTTTGTGCTCTTTTAAGGTTTCCTGTGGATCGGTGGAGTTATTTCAATATTATTACTAACTTTTTAATTATTTTTATCAGCTTATTTTTAACTATATAATTAATCAATTATTGGGTTGTCCGGAAAATAATGCAGGATTTTGGTATTAAACAAAAAAAAAGAAACTAGTTACTTTAAAGCAATGTTCTTTAATCAAAATAATTNAATCCTGTAAACGTAAACAGAATATTTTATATAGATTTTTTTTAATGAAAACTTAAAATCCTGCATTATTTTCCGGACAACCCAATAATTATACACAATTTATTTTTTCTGAATTGAATTTGGGAAGTTTGTGGCAAATTCGTGGGTTCGAATCCCGCCTGTGACACAAAATATTTCATTTCGAAAAAATTGTGTATAATTAATTGAGTAATTATTTCAATATTATCAACAGTTTTGTGATTTTCAAAAAAATTAATGCCAAAAATGTTCTTTTCTCTTTCTTTTTTTGCTTTTTTTTGTATTTACCCAAAAACGAGCATCAATGTTTTTTAATGGTGCAGAAAATAGTCAATAATCGGTAACGACCAAATTACAAAAACGAAGTTTAAATTATGCGATCAGAGTTTGTTCAACCGTATAAAAATCTAGAACATTTTCCAATTTTGACTCCAAACTAATAAAAATTTACTTTAAACTTCAACAATGTCTCAACGATAGTGGGTGGGTAAGCCTTTAAAGGAAAAAAACGACTAGAACGAAACCAGAAACGACGAAATTAGCAGCATTCCAACAAGATCAAATAACAGAAATTCTTTCTATTGGGTTGTCCGGAAAATAATGCAGGATTTTAAGTTTTCATTAAAAAAAATCTATATAAAATATTCTGTTTACGTTTACAGGATTACTCAANTGGGAAATTATTTTGATTAAAGAACATTGCTTTAAAGTAACTAGTTTCTTTTTTTTTGTTTAATACCAAAATCCTGCATTATTTTCCGGACAACCCAATAGATATGAATACGCCCTTTATTCTTAAATATCTTGGTCTAGAATGCACGATTTAATTCGGTCGTATATCATTAAAACTTTGTTTCCTACAAACTTGTTAATAATAATTTGTTTTCTACCATTGTAGTAAAAATACTTTCTTTTGTTGATTAATGTATTTTTAGATATAAATATCGTATTTTTATTTATTTATTCGTTTATATATAATCTGAAAATATGGAATACTTCCTTTACAGATAGAGTGAGTTCTATTATGAAAGATATGTATAGAAAATTACAAACTTATACAAATTATGGGCTTCTTCCGATGTTTTAGATCACAATATATCAAATCATCGTCTGGGTGGGTAGGTAGATACAAAAAACATTTTTTACATAAGTCATGAACAGGGCAAATAAAAAAGAAATGCTGTAATAATTGAGCATGAAATCTGAGGATCGATGATGTATTTTTTATTCTTTATATAGATGGCTGTATTTTTTTATGTGGCATATTCTAATCTGGCTGATTAATCTCAACTTATCTGCCCGTTCGCAGATACAATGTAGTGCTCACCAAAACCTTGATTGCTAACCCTTCTGAAATGAGGATTATAATTCGATCTGAGCGCTGAACTAAGCGGTAACTACCCAGTGACCAAAGATGATTTGAGTATTTTCTGACTCGAGATTTATAAAAAGAAGTTTGCCGACAGGAACGATTATGGGAAATAATTTTCTCGCCAATAGAAGAGAGAAGGAGATTAATATAAAATTGCCCAATTGAAAGGTAACGTTCTGTTATTAATTTCTGCAGTCGGCTTTTGAAGGCAGATTTTCTCCAATTTGTGTCCGGGTAGAACTTGCAGCCAAAATTTTATAGCTCTTTTAAATATGCATAATTTAATACTCTTTAAAGTCGATTCTAATCTCACAAAATAATTTGGAGTAAACAGAAGATTTTTCAGAAACAGTAAGCTCAAAACAGAAGATTTTTGACAAACTTAGAGAGGATTACTTCCAAATTTCAGCCGCTTAGATAAACACTGACTTTATTAAATAACGCTTAAATTTAGCTTTCTCGTAAATGATCTTAAATGTATTGTGATATATTTTTTTGTGTATTAAAAAAATATATCACGACAAAGAGTAGTAAAATTACTCGATAAACGTAATTCTACGCTTATTTACGCCTTCCCCACACAAGTAGACAAAATAAGTAACTCAGGCGTTATTTGTGTAAACAGGTCCCCCGAGTCAATATATTTTGTCGGTTGGGGTGATCACTTAGCACCGGTAGTTCACCTAGAGATTTATAGCGGTCCCTTCCTCGAGGGGATGAAAAGATATCGATACGTCGAAAAAAGTGCTGACAAAAATATCTAGTTTTAGCTAGAATAAAAACTTCGGACATTGCAATTTTCACGACTTTACGGTTGATTTTTTTTTTTAATATTGTGATCTCGCCATTGTTGCAGTTTTGTACCAACTACGAAACGTCAGACAAGAGGCTCTTCCCAACATTCGCACGAACAAGACCGCCGGACACGCAAATATCCAAATCTGTTGCAGCTGTACTTCTGGCATTCAATTGGACACAGGTAAGCATCAAATGCACCCCCAAGGTAATACTTCTATAATGAGTTTCCTTTCTATGCAGATACTCATTAATATATTTGATTATAAAGCTTGAATAAATATATAATGAATTCCATGGCCGTGGGTTCGAATCCCGCTCGTAATACTAGCTTTTTCATTTCAACCAAAACCTTACATAATTAGATTAATGCAATTAATATTGAGCTTCAAGATAAAGATTAAAGGTATTTATAAATGGTTAATATTTTACTTATAAAACAGTTTATGTACAGTGGGTCTACATTAAACCATTGCTTGCCACCGAACACTTAAAGTAAATGTACGAAAGGGAGAATGATGGTGTGTGAGTAAGTGTGTAAGAGGGAGTGATCGTATAAGTCATTGATTGAATGAGTGAGCGTTCGATTGTGTAAATCATGACTGGGCTAGTGTGTGAGTGAGCCTATGATCGAGATGTTATAGTGTACGAAAAAAAATTGACAACAAAAATGAGAGGGTGTGAGTGTAAATGTTTGATTGATTGATTAAGTTAGTGATATTACATATTTCATTATTCTTAAAATTTAGTGTCAAATTTGCTTTGCTAAACATCTACAACTTTGGACGTACGCATTGATGAGCATGCCATAAAGTTCAAACTACTGAACTTTAATCGAATTAAAAAACTTCACATGTAGAGACATTTGTAGAGGCATAGGTGGCCAAAGTGGCAGGTATCACCGGGAAAGAACGAAGTCAACCTCGAGTCCGGCATGATCACGCCAAAACGAATTTGGAGTCGGATGAAACTTGGCGGATCGAACCGAGGTGAAAAAAACTTTGTCCATATCCTGCAGGGCTCAGAAACCCGACCGTGAAACGCGAAGTAAAATGCCACCGTCGATGAAATTCATCCGGGATTAAATTACCCAACGGGGAGAGAAAAAGTGGGGTGCAGACATTTAGGTGGAAAAACGCACTGTTTATATGTAGCAAAAGGTTTTCTTCATTTTTTGACGGATTGAAAAAAATAATCTGGCTTTCTGCAAATTATGATCTACATTAAATAAGCCACTTTCAGGATTCTATAATTTAATCCAAATTGGGCAATTTTTGTTATTTGTTAAGAAAAATCCTTTAAAAAATTATTAATCGAAAATCGTGAGATGCTTTCTGGTGTGACGAGGGTTTTAGAAAAACATTTTCTTTATTGTGCCAATGTTTCGATCTTTATTGAGATCATCTTCAGGCTCAAAGCGTTTGTTTTCCGTGTACATGTGTCATTCTTGTATGTCGTGTTGAGAGTACCCTTTGACACTTTGACCCCTAAAGATTATCTCAATAATGATCGAAACGTTGGCACGGTAAAGAAAATGTTTTTCTAAAACCTACGTCACACCAGAACGCATCTCACGATTTCCGAATAATCATTAACTAACGTTTAGTGACCACACCACACACCTTTAAAACATGTGAAACTGATCGTTTTCAACGTCTCCCAAGAATTCCCAGATGTTATTGACGTAAATTATGCAAATGTTCGAGTGAACACCTGTTCCAGCTTATATAAAACGCGAAACTGACAGACATAATCGAATTTAAACGGAAAGACATGAAAATGTAAATCCAAAGGCAACCCGTTGAAACTAACTTATCATAAATCTCGAACGGGATTAATCCATCCTATGGCAGCTGTTTTGAAATTCAATTTCGGCCAATAATTGCATACTCACACACATACACACAAAAAGTTAATTTTGAGAACATAGGTGGGAAATTGCACATCAATAACGCGCAAAACATCCTATTAATTGTTAAACTTTGAATGCAATCCGGTTCAATTTTCCGGTCGGCGGATGTCGTACAGAGCCACAGTTGTGCACAATGTTATCGGACTTGATTTACATCTAAGCACTTTGAACTGGGCCCATTCTACCGGCATCACTGTCGAAAAAGAGGTTTTGCTGCTATGGGCACAGTAAAAATGACCCTTTACCTAAGAATTTCATGTCAATTTCCGAGCGAGAATGAACTTTTTTTTCGAGGGTTCGCAACAGCAAAGATCATATAAAAGATCAGGGCCGCTGGATTCGAACCCGAGACCTTTACCTTACAGGGATGAGCACCGTGTCAACGCCTAAACCGTTGCCGCCACCGACTCCCCCTAATGAACATTATTAATTAATCCATATATGTTTAGCGGTTATAATTGACCGTATTAATAATTTCAGTTATTATTCTTTTTATCTAAGGCCTTGGTTGAGATGAAACAGCTAGTGTCACGAGCGGGATTCGAACCCACAGCCTTCGGCTAAATACATCGGTGCTCTAACCACTTAAGCTATCGTGACTTCGATCCACTCGGGTCCACACCAACTCCTCATCTCAGACTATAACCTTTCGAGTTTTCCCTCTTTTTGCCATTTTCCAAATGTCAATTATGACCGCTAAACATATAAAGATTAATATAACAATTAAAGTAGTAACCACTTCGCTAACAGCCCCCGATAGCCACTTCATAGGTAGCTGAGAATCGAATCCTGATTACACATTTGAACCACTAGGAAGGGTTGCTTCAGAGAAACAGGGCTTTATACTAGAACGTCAGGACACGGTCGACCTAGGTCTATAGATGAGAGACGATAGATTCATCCATCATCAGGCTCTAAGAGACCGCAGCACTATGCGAAATGAGATAATAAATCTTTTAAGACATTGGACTTGTTATCAAGCTCAGAAAATGGCCATGCCTCAATTCGCACGGGAACATCTACATTGGAAGAAGAGAATTAGTCTCAAATCTTCAGATGGGCGTAATTTGATATAGAGACGCTCAGGAGAAAGATACGCCCCATGCTGTGTGGTTGCTCAGGTTGCATTCCACGGTGGGTCATTGATGTTCTGGGGTGGCATTTCCTTGGATGCCCGCACGGAATTGATCGTTGTGCAAGGAAGCTCCCTAACTTCACAGAGGTTACAAGATATAATTGAAGAAAATGTAGTGCCCTAACATCGGTGATTCTTGCTAATGCAGGATAAAACCAGACCCCATAGAATACATATTGTGAATAAACACTTAAATGAGGTTGGATTTGAGTGCTTGGTGTGACCAGCTCGAAGTCCAGATTTGAACCCGATCGATCACGTTTGGGACCAACTTAAGCGACGAGTACGATGGCACAACCCAGATCCTAACACCCTAGAAGAGTTGGAAACTGCTGTTCTTGATGAATGGGAAAAAATTCATAAGGATTTTACCAGAAATATTTTCCAGGGAATGCAAAGTCTTTAACAGATGTGATTCGTGTCAGAGGTATTAAGCTGGGCGCACACTAAGTCAGTGGTGCAGCGCGGAACCGACCCACATGAAGAATACATTGAAATGAATGTAACCCCGCACACTCGGCCGGTAGGGTGGCGCGGCGCGTAGCCGAAGGAAGTTGCCAGACTTCTGGAACTCGGCTCCGCAAGGGGCGGTCGGAAATCGTTGAGTTCGCATATATTCGGCTGCCCTCGGACGCCATATATGCTGCCATATATATGGTGCGCTACACGGTGTGCGGACCTTCACAATTCCGCGCCGCGTCGCCCCACCGACCCAGTGTGCGCCCAACTTTAAAGGGAAGAAAGACGTTTTTTTTACATTTTTATTTGTTTGTTCTTTTCTCAATAATTGTTTTTTTAGAATTATTATTTTTAAATGTATCATTTTTACAACCAAACCTATTTTTGGTATTCAAAATTTGAATAAACCTAAATTTATTAAAATTTAAGGGTGGTGTGTTAATTTTTTACATCAGTGATATTCAAGTATAAGCATATAAACCAATGCAATTTTTAATCAATTGTACTGCTCTTCTGTGTGGTTTTGACAAAACACAAAAAATCACCATCGCAAGTGTGACTATTTAAACAGTACGTTGATGAAATCCTTACTAAAAAACTTAATTCAACTCCCAGAAAGAAAAATTATTATCGTGTGAAAACTGAAAAGTTAACAGAATCCCATGCCGGACCATTTGATTCTCTCGCTAGCTCGTTCACTTTGCTAACTCGGCGTAAAGGGATTTAAGCTTGGAAACTAATTGTTTACACTTGCGTACACAAGTATATCGTGTTATTATTCTTATTACAACTAAAAAGCTTTAAAAAAAAATGAAAAGCTCTCATTGTACAATATTTTTAGCTTATTTAGGCAATCCTTAAATTCCTGCCTGCCTTAAACTTCTTATTTTGTATAGTATTTATTTATTTCTAACAACAACAAGGCGTTAAGTTTGATGAACGCATACACAAAATAAAATATAAAAATAAAATGCATTTCATAACTTAATGCAATGTAAACATCAAACAATAAAAAAATACGCAAGAGAACCTATAATGCACAAATATTTACCTATTTAAAATATAATCGTAATAATAAATTTATACTAAAAATGAAACAAAATTATATGCGAATTACTCCGTATCAGGGATAAAATCTGCTTCAGCTCTCTAATTTGTACATAGTGTATATTTTTGTTGTTGGAGAGTTCGGAGTAAAATATTCTCCATAGTATCATTGGTGGTGCCACAAGAAGGCTGTTTGTCACCTCTTTTATGGTTAATTACAGTAAAAAGCACCTAAATTACAGCAACACCCGACTAAATTGTACAGAAATATTTTAAGATTTTCGCACCTTTTCATTAACTCTGTACTACATTTTTTCAGGTGACCTTTCTGTACAGGAACTCGAGCGATTTGGGCACAGTCGCCGACACGATAATGTCCGTTTTGGACAGCTCGGGGGTGACAATTTTGGCGACGAGGACTTGGACGACATCCTACCTCCACGGATACACGGACAACCCTTTTGCACAAATGGTCGCACAAACTTACACCAACACGAGGAGTAAGCGTAACTATTTACAAGACATTTTCAACCAAAACGATAACATGTATGTAGTTTGATCGTTTCCGATTATTTAAGTCTGTCAGACGCGTTTCGGCTTTCGCCATCTTCATGGGTGGTTCTGTCCTCTCTGTCCTCTTTATTCTTGTATTAGGGTTATTTAGCAAGAAGACAGCACTAAACATGGCGCGTCTGACAGTCTAAATAGCAAGGATAGGCAAGCCCAAATGATCAGAAACGACAGAAAAAAATACAAGTTCATCGCGCCCGCAAACCATTAAGAAATCTCTCTAAATAAAAAGTATCTTTTAATAAACCATTTGTTAATTGCAAATATTGGGTTCTGCGAGGTAATGAATGTGTAGTTTGATCTTTCCGATTTGGTCCTCGCAGTTTTGGTCTGTCGGCTCCACCATCTTCAGTTATCAATCTCTCCTCGGATATGAGTTATTTGGCAAGAAGTGACAGATAAAAGATGGTGAGAAGCGCGGTTGTGCAAACCAAAACAATTGGAAACGACCAAACTCTCGGTTTGCGAGGTGATGACCTGTAGTTTGATCCTTCCGATCATTTTCGTTGGCCTATCCTCGCTGATTGTGCAATTTCTAAAAAATACAAAACAGCAAGCTGTCCAAACAAAATGATTGTAAACGACAAACTCTCGGCCTGCAAGGCGATAAACTATAGTTTGTTCATTTCCTACCATATTAGTCTGCCTAACCTCGCTTTTTGGTAAGACGGCTGTCAGTGGTGAGTCTGTGCGTCTTCTACAAATATAAAAATAGCGAGGATGTCCATACCAAAACGCTCGGAAACAACAAAGCTCTTGGTTTGGGAGGTGATGAACCTACAGTTGTCATTTTCATGTCATTCATGCTTTGCTCTGCCTATTCTCAATGTTTTGTCCTGTCAACTTCTAGGTATCATCAGTGGTGAATCTGCGCGATTTCTACAAATGCCAAAACAGCGAGCGAGTGCAGACCAAAACGATTGGAAACGACAAAACCTTTTGGTCCTCGAGGTGATGATCCTGCAATTTTGTCTTTTCCGATCATTTCTCGCTGATTTGGCCTATCGGCCGTCGCCTTTTCACCATCGTCAGTGTCACCAAAACTGACGAAACGAACTCAAACCATAAAATGTCGGTTTGCGAGGTAATGACCATGTGATCGTTTATGATCATTTCGGTCTGCCTATTCCCGCTGATTTGGTCTGTCAGCTATCAGAGCTTCTAGCTATCGTCAGTGCTGAGTCTGTACGACTTCTACAAATACAAAAAAAATAAACGACAAAATTACTTCTATTTCATACTTGAGATGATTCTGCAATGTAAACTTTCTTATCCTGGGAGAAATCAGGAACTATTCCTGAAAGGAATTTTTCCTTTCGCTCTGAATAAGGACAAATTAATTGACCCTAATTCTCTTCAAGAGTAAGTAGAGCGAAATCAAATACCGGAGAACGGATCACAAATCCAAAAACAAACGCAACTATTCAAAATATCCAAATCAATTAAAATTCGTTTAATAAATAAAATCCACTTTATAAAAAATCTTAAATTACACTTTGTTACATTTTATTATATTATATTTTGTCTGATGTTAGCCAACAAATTATATTAAACCAGAAATAAATTAACATAATCTAATTAAATTAACTAGGAAACTCTTTTGAAGAATTTGAAAACCTGGCTGACGTAGTACACACGATTACGTCCAGTGGTTCAGGGTCAAGGTATCGGACTGACAATCGATTGGTACGAGGTACGTGTACCCGTACCGAGAGGTTTCTATTTATAATCTTGTACCTTCTGATATTTTTAATATTATAAGTGTTACTGTTTGAAAACGACTAGTGTCCTGTTCTCATTTACTAATAATAATACTTCATTATTACAAAAATAACTTGATGAAGTGATTTTTTTTTTTTTTATGTGTAGGTTAAACACAAGAATGCCTTTAGAAAAATAAAGAATAATAAACCTTGGTTGACCCTAAAATCGAACAAATAATAAAGACAAATTTAGAAATACTTCTAACTTGAAAAAGAAGAGATTCTTCTTAACAAAATGTCGGAGAACACCAGAAAGAAAATTATATTTACAAAAATTTATCACCCGAACCACTTCTATATTTGTTATTTTAATTATTCAAGATAACTTATAGGTTTATTGAAGATTTTCTTACAAAAAAAATTAATTATTGACGTCAGACCAAAAAAAATTTTTTTTTTTACTTTCACATTAAACATGAGGATTAATAAATGCAAGACAAAATTATTATTTGACTGTTAGTATTAATTGAAATGTTTTTCAATTTTTTTTTACTGACTAAAATAAAAAATATACTGAAACAAAAATATTAACCCTGGCTGGATAATCTTTACGATGCAAGAAACAACACATTTATGAGTATATTTTTTTACTGTACTTGTTCATTATGAAATTAAAAGTTTAAGGAAATTAAATATTGTATTAGTTTAGGTTTTTTATACATTTATTCTTACCCTATCCCTTGGCCACATGGCCATTATTTTAACTAACTGTAATAATAATTTTTTAGTAATTAAAAAAATCAGGAATAATTTATATTTTGATTATCACTTACAGTCTACTTAATCCTTGGGCAGTACGACGAACACCTTGGTTTACTCGTTGCAATGGAAGATATCAAACTGTTCGACAATGGTGAGTAGATTTCATAGCTTAGAAAATTTTTACTAGGCCATGCCAGAGTCGTGAGGAGGCTTATAACTCGTGTGACATAGAAGGTTATTTCTCAATGATATCAGCACGCTTCCTCGCCATAGCAACTGAACCATGAGGAATGAATTCCCGCCAAATGGAATCTTCCTTCCCTGATTCAATTTTGCTGGGCTTCTCCTCATAAAATCTCATTGAATTGAATTCCTTTGGGAAATTAATGAGAGTGGGTTAATGTATGAGAGGGGGGACTCTTGTCTTTTTAACAAATTCAATGTCTTTATTTTAAAAGTTGCTCTCTCAACTGTCAAAACCAGTTTTTTTTGCAATTTAAATTCGTATTATATAGCAATGTTTCATACACACATGATATGTTAATTGAAAAATCAAACCTCAACAGTTATTTACAATTTTAGCAGTTTACAATCTTGACGTTTGCTACAAAGCATTCCTTTGTCCTCGTTTTCATAATTAAGCATAAGAGAAAGTGAATTTAAGGAATTAAATATGTCCAATATTGAAATATTCGGTTTCAAAATTTAAGGTTTCGTGCCATCTGAACATTCATTGAACTCGCCTTTGTCGAATTAACTCAGAATTGGTTAATGAATGAGTGAAACAGTTCCACAATATACAGGGTGAGTCATTTTTTGACGCACCATTGGAAAATCAACATGGGTGCTTTTAAATCTGACTCGAGGCTTATTTCCTTTGATTAATACATTAATAAAAGAAAGTGAGTTAATTTTCAGTACACCATAGGAAAATCAACATTGGTCCATCTAATTATGACTCGGCATATTTTATTTTGTTAATCTCGTACCAAAAAATAGGCAAGTCACTTTTTGACGCTCCATTCGTTACGAATTAGTTTTAGTAGGTTGGAAGGAAAATAAACAAAACCAATATTATTAAAACATTCAAACACAATGTAAAAATTTTTAAAAAAATTCTTCACAAATTAATTTGATTAAGGTTTAAAAGTATTTTTTTCGTCCAATCATCGTTTTACAATACTAGGCTATTGTCAAGCAAATCGAGGTCTGTTCGAACAATTATTATAATGACTTGGAACATTTTTGGTTTGCTAACAAAGGAGATTGTTACATTTATTTAATTTTTTTACTTTACCAGAAAAAAATACTCTTAAACCTTAATCAAATTAATTTGTGAAGATTTTTTTTATTTTTACATTGTGTTTGAATAATGTTTTAATAATATTGGTATTGTTTATTTTCCTTCCAGCCTACAAAAACTAATTTGTAACGAATGGTGCGTTGAAAAGTGACTCGCCTATTTTTTGGTACGAGACTAACAAAATAAAATGTGCCAAGTCATAACTAGACGCATCAACGTTGATTACCTATGGTGTACCGAAAATAGACTCACTTCCTTTTTTTAATGTTAAAATCAAAAGAAATAGGCCTTGAGTCAGATTTAAAAGCACCCATGTTGATTTTCCAATGGTGCACTGAAAATTGATTCACTTTCTTTTATTAATGTATTAATCAAAGGAAATAAGCCTTGAGTCAGTTTTATTTTTTTACGATGATACAGATTTTACAATGGTGTGTCAAAAAATGACTCACCGTGTATGTATAGTGTATCAAATAGCTATTGCAATCTGAAATGTTTAAAACTGAAATTTTTTACATAATTAGGCATGAGAGTTTGTTTCTAAAGCAATACAAGCATGAGGTGTGTTAATTGAAGAAACGAAATTTCCTCTGAATAACCCCACATTCACTTTCATTTTTAGGGTTTTTACAATCTGAACTTTCATTTCAAAGTATTCCTTCGAATAAACAAGCTTGAGAGAGAGTGGGTCGAGATTTAAGGAACAAAACCTGTCATCACGAATACTGTAAAATTCAGTTTCTTATTTTACTCATATAGTATTGCAAATTTGTCATTATAATGTGTTAATTGGAGAAACAAAACATCTCCCCGATTGTTATCTCAAATTTCAAGACATTTTCCAATTTAAACATTCATTACAAAGCATTCCTTTGTGAAATTAAGCATGAGAGTCAGTTAATTGAAGATGCTTGTCACCAGGAATTGTTCAAGATTCAATGTGTTATTTTAGAGGTTTTGTCTCAACTGTTAAAACTTTTTTTTGCAATTTAAACTCTATATCAAAGTTTTATACAAGCATGATATGTTAATTGAAAAATCAAAGCAATACCTCAACAGTTATTTACAATTTTTAGGGTTTCACAATCTCGACATTACTACAAACATGATACGAACAGTGAAGAATCAAAGCATTTCATTTATTTACAATTTTAAGGGTTTTGCAATCTCTTCATTTAGTACAAAGTATTCCTTTGTTCTCTTTGCATAATTAAGTATGAGGTAGGGTTAATTGAAAGAAATAAACACATCCTCACCAATATTACAATATTAGTTTCAAAATTTAATATTTTTATACCATCTGAACTATCATTGAACCCACCTTTGTCGAATTAACCATCAGAATGGGTTAACAGAATGAGTGAAACAGTTCCACAATGGTTATATCAAATAACTATTTGTAATTTGAAATGTCATTAAAACGAAAATCACAGAATTTACAGAATTAGACATGGAAATGTGTTAATTGAAGGATTGAAATATGACCTCTACAATACTGCAAAATTTACTTTCATATTTTAAGGTTTTACAATCTGAACATTCATTTCAAAGTATTCCTTCAAATAAACAAGCATGAGAGAGAGAGAGGGAGTGAGTCAAGATTTTAAGGAGCAAAACCTGTCATCAAGAATATTGCAAAATTCGTTTTCTTATTTTACTCTTAAAGTATTGCAAATTTACTGTTATAATGGGTTAATTGAAGGAACAAAACATCTCTCCAATTGTTATCTCAAATTTCAAAGATTTTGCAATCTAAACATTCATTACAAAGTATTCCTTAGTGAAATTAAGCATAAGAGTGGGTTAATTGAAGACTCTTGTCATCAAAGGTTTTTCAAGATTCAATATCTTTTTTTGAGGTTTTCTTGTCTCCACTGACAAAACCAATTTGTTTTATTTTATTTTATTTTTTTTATATTTAAACTCTTGTTTTAAAGCAATCTTTTATACAAGAATGATATGTTCATTGAAAAACCAAAGCTTCACTAAACTTAGAAAACAACTAACCTTTTTTTTAATGTAGACATATTGTTTTTGGTCTATTATATATTCATTTTGAAAGTAAATAGAATTTAAAAATTCCAGTAACACAAAAATCATATAATTTAAAATATTATACAAAATAAATAATTAGCTTAATTAAGTTCATGATCTGAATTAAAATTGGCAAATATATACATTTCAAAGTTAATTTATGTAAAACTATAGCGGTTATCGCTCAAAAATATTTACACCTCGAAAAAAACTTTCTACCGTCAACAGAAGTGTACAACAACTCCTAAGTGGTTTTATCAAATTTTGCTTTATTATCAGTATTTGCAATTTGCATTTTCATTAAAAGCAAAAATTTATACTGTTGGGAGTGTGCTTGTTAAAGGATAGAAAAAAGTCCAGAATAGTCAATTTTGAGTGTTTGCTGTTTGAAAAATTATTGCTTCATACAATTAAACATCAAACATATTTTCTCAAGATTCAAAACATTTCCTCACAAAAATGATTTAAAATTGTTTGGTTTGGGAAAAAAAAATTTTTATTTGTTCAAGTAAGGATAAAGTGTGATGGTCAAGAAAAAGTAAAACTTTTAGACCAGAATGATTACAAGTTTATTACAATAAGTTCTGGGTTATCCTTATTGTGTGGTGTTTAGTGACCGTTAGTCAATGATTATTTGGAGATTTTGAGATGCTCACACCAGACCACTTCTCACTATAGGAGTTATCCTATCCTTAATCCCACTCTCATTAGAGTTCTAGACCAAACTTAAGTGGGTTTGGCTACATGCTTAAATGGGCAAGATAAAAAAAAATTAAATAAATACATAAAAGAATTTTAAAAATAAATATTTTATATGGATTTATATGGAATCAAGGAGCGTTTGTGGTCATGGGTTCGGTTAAAACATTGAAAAGCATTCATCACTGTAATATAAAGTATCCAGGTTCGAATCCAATGCATTTGAACACGACAAATTCACCAGCACCCTGAGGGTTATGTCGTTGTGAACCCTTGTAAAAAAATTAAATTAAATTAAAAAATTATAGAATCAAAACAGGTTCCCATGTAAGTAAAATTGGTAGAAATATTTTATCCTTCTAGAATGGTTTTCAATTCCATGGTTAATGCAAACTTGTAACTACAAAGTATTGGACAATTAAGCAAGGGAAGTATTAATAAATTAGATCAAATTAGATCCTCTCATTATTTCAAATTCAATTTGAGTTCTTGCAAAATTTGACTCTCATTAATTTTTTTAATAATTTTTTAGAATAATTTAATTAATTATGAAACTGATCGAAAATAAGTTTTTTTCAAAGTTAGAACAATGCATTTTTTTTTCTTCTTAGGGGAATATTGGGTGGTAGGTGTTGACATAGTGCAGTATGATGAAAAAGAACCTACTAAATATTTGAAAGGGCTTCTTGTCGATGAGATACAACCAGCAGCCTTACACGCATTCCGTTCCTATTTGGGCGTGGCTCCTTCTCCGCCAACAAACCTCACCAAATTTGCATCCCAGGTCAACAAATACATGGAACTGCCGCCTTTCAACTTTCCAAACCCTGTAGCATCCCTCGGCGGTGGAAAGCAGGTATATGTATAAAAAAAATTCGTAAATGGTGTGACTAAACTCAAGTTTTGACCAGATAAGTGAGGAAGCGGCGTACTTGTATGATGCGGTTCAGCTCTATGTCAAAGGGGTGTTGGAGGCGTATGAGTCTGGTGAAGACATAAGAAATGGGACAGCAATCATCGAACGTCTAAAATGTCGCCATTATCAAAGTGCAATGGGGTGAGCCTCTACTATTATCCAATAAACCAGCAAGTCTTCTTACACCCCATTTAAATTATTCATGAAATATCTATAAATGTAGTTCACAAACTGTCTAAATGATTCAGATACAAATTATTTGTCATAGTATTATCAGAATTAGATATGTGCAGGTACATGGTCTACATGGACAGTAATGGTGATGCTGAAGGGAACTATACACTTCTTGCGAGGAAGATGTCCCCTACTGGAGAATATGGCCTTTTCCCTGTTGGTGGTTTTTCATACAAACAGACTACTGACTCTCTTCCGGTAATATTTAAAAACCTATACATTTGAAAGTTATTTTATTTTCTCTTTGTCACAGGAATTGAACCTGGCATCTGAAATTGACTGGGTGAATGGTGAAATTCCAATTGCTGTACCTCCATGTGGCTTTAGCGGAGAGAAGTGTATTAGTAGGTACACTGCATTGTTGGTAAAAAATAGAATAAATTGCACTTAGCCTAAAATATCTTAAAAGTGTACATAAAATTGAAGTTGTTAAAGTTATTCCTTATCGCTTAGCATCTTTTTGCTACATCAGATTGCTTATATACTATGAATGTTTACCCTAAATTAGTTATTCTATTATAGTACTTTAATTTAAAAATTTCACTCAATTTTGTGAATTAATTTAAGGCCATACTATGGAGGTTGTTGGAGGGATTGCTGGAGCAAGTTTGGCATTTTTGATAATAACTGCTTTAGTCCTCTACAGGAATTGGAGATATGAGCAAGAGCTAGATAGTTTATTGTGGAAAATTGATTTTAAAGAAATACAAATGAATGAAGAATTGTCAGTTACCAACGAATTGAAAACTAACAGGGTATATTTGAGCGTTTTTTAGTTCTTTTATAAAAATCTTTGTACTAACGATTTTTCAGATCGCCCATCCTTTGATCAGGACAAGTCAAGTATCTCTCACTTCGAACCCAGATGCAGACTTCAGATATACATCTATTTTCACAACAATTGGGATTTACAAGGGAAGAGTATTTGCAATAAAAAGGGTCAATAAAAAATCCATCGATATAACGAGAAGCATGAAAAAAGAGTTAAAACTTGTAAGAATCTGTACTCAATTAAGATTTAAAAATTGACTTTTTATTAGTTATATGTTAATGACAAAACCTTTTATGGTTTTTGTTTCTTTTAGATGAGAGATTTGAGACATGATAATTTAAATGCATTCATCGGGGCCTGCACAGATCCACCCAATATTTGCATAGTAACAGAATATTGCAACCGAGGAAGCCTTAAAGTAAGAAAATCCATGCAGAAAAAATTTGTTTATGCTTTAACGATAATAAAAACAAAAAACATAATTTCAGGACATAATCGAAAATGAGGATGTAAAACTAGATAACATGTTTATAGCTTCGTTAGTAGGTGATATTCTAAGAGTAAGACTGAAAATTTAAATTTTTAAATTTTCTGTATTAAATTATGAAATAATTTCTTTAAATTTGTCATTAAAAGGGCTTAATATATCTTCAAGACTCCACCCTCCGCTTTCATGGGAATTTAAAGTCATCGAATTGCCTCGTAGATTCGAGATGGGTTGTGAAACTTTCTGATTTCGGTTTGAAAGAGTTCAAGAGTGGGGAAGACGACTTCCATCAAACCTGGTCCCTAAAGCACACCTGTGATGAGGAAAATAAATGTAAATGTGAAGGTAAACTGTATGCAGCAGGTCCACAATAGCCGAAGTAAATAAACTGATTCGTAACAGGATTACTCTATCGAGCACCGGAGCTTTTGCGAGTCACAACAGCAACCCCAGGTGCAGGATCACAAAAAGGAGATGTATATAGTTTTGGAATAATTCTCTATGAGCTTCACAGCAGGAAAGGTCCATTTAATGTCAGCACGGGGTTGACACCGAGGCAAATTGTCCACAGAATTATGTTTCCTCCTCCCAATTCACCGCCATTTAGGTTATTAAAATTCTATAGTTTACTAAATATTTCAGCTTGGCACGAATAGCAGTCACAATAATTCATCAATATTAAACCTAACTTATTAAAATATTTATTATATATTTAAATGTTTGTTTTAAATACTGCTTTATCTATTAGGCCTCCTTTAGACCAGCTAGAGGTGAGCTTTGATTATGTGAGGGACTGTTTGAAAGAATGCTGGTTTGAAAATCCAGAAGAAAGGCCTGATATAAAGACTGTTAGATCAAAGTTAAGGCCTATGAGAAAGGGCATGTGAGTATCACATAAAATTTAATTCAATTAGAGCATTACCCCAATCAAAAGTTTAACTCAATGTAGATGTAAAATGATTTGTTTAGATTTTATTTATTTTTAATTATTTTTTTCAATTCAAATGGAAATTTTAGGAAACCAAATATTTTCGATAATATGATGGCAATGATGGAAGCATATGCAAATAATTTAGAAGTTTTGGTCGACGAAAGAACTGATCAATTGATTGAAGAAAAGAAAAAGACAGGTAATTTTTTTTTAAATTATGCCTACTAACTTAGTTATACCAGTTACTTGCTTCCACCATTATCTAACCAAATATCTTTGCTTGATCTCTGACTGCTTATTTCACTGGTTTTGTCAGTTAAGCATTTCAGCATTTACTAAAATGTAAAATTGAAAAATTCATCTGATAGACAAACCCAGCAAGAAATTGTAAAGGAACATTTTTGGAAAAAATCAAACTACAGGTTCAGATCTCATTAAAATATATCTTAATCTAACTATATTTATAGTGGATTGACAATTTATATATATGCTTCCATGCCATTAAGAAATTCTAAGTAATTTAGTCATTATTGATCATTTTGATCTTCCTATTCTCCCAATTTGATCTATCAGACATGTTTGAGCATTTCGCCAATCTCAGTGTTTTCTGCTATTTCTTTTTTTTTCTCTGGTAATATCTCCACAGTCTCACAGTATGGGTCAATACATATGCCTCTGAAGTCTGCAGTGTCCTGTCAACAGTTTCACTCTCATGTCCTAACACGTCCTGTTAGTAGTACTGCCGGTAGTTTCTCCGGTAGTCTTTTAACCATTTTTAACATGCCACCATCCCGGACTACAATCCCCTTTAAACCAAGGATTTAATCATAATCCATTGCCTGATGGATTTACATTATTGGCAATTCGATGGGCCTCAAAATGGTTCAGACTGATAGGTGTCCTAACAACTCTCCTTGGCAAATTTATGGGACTCCTTGTTGAATTGTTGTTCATCTGTCTTGTCGCCCTGGTATTTTTTTTTTTTTTTTCCAACATCAAAAGTCAAAATGGCCTTAATACAATCCCAAATGTCTCCCTGGACTTTTCTTCAGATAAGGGATCGCCTACAGTGCTGTCTAGCTGTCGAAGTGGTCTTTAATTTTTGTTAGTTTCTTAGTTTTTGTTGCCTTGAATGTGGAGACAGTTCATCAAGGTTAAAGCTTCTCTGTTGTACAATTTTTCAACTCAATTGTGGGTCTGGTTTGAACACAACTTTGTTTGAAATTTGTCATCTGTTTCATTCATCTGTTTTATGGAAGGATAGGACGATAGGGTTTTTGCTAAGGAAAATTTTGAACATTTTACCCATGATCCCACTTCTTCCAAAAATCCAAAATGCAAGTGAGCACTGCCCCCATATTGTGGTTAAACTTAGTATCATTTATAACTATCATAGTTTTTTGACACCAAACCAAAAGTTACCAGTAGCCTGAGAAGAACGGGCTGCCATTATTGTACAATTTAAGACAAACATGGATGAGAATTAATTTGGAAAAAAAATTAATACTATTGCTAAAATTTCCTATTTGTTATTAATTTTAAGACTATATAATTTTATAATAAAAACTTTATAAAAGGAATTTTTTTCAGAGGCATTGTTGTTTGAGATGTTGCCCCGTTGTGTGGCAGACCAATTACGAAAAGGCCACAAAGTTGAGGCAGAAAGTTTTGATTGTGTCACAATATATTTCAGTGATATTGTCGGCTTTACAGCAATGTCTGCAGAAAGTACACCACTTCAAGTATGAAACTTCAATAATTTATGTATTTATTTTGTGTATATACATTTTTTTAATATAATTTAGGTTGTTGATTTCTTAAATGATCTGTACACTTGTTTTGATTCAATCATTGTCAACTACGATGTTTACAAAGTTGAAACAATTGGAGATGCTTACATGGTTGTGTCGGGCTTGCCTGTCAGAAATCACGACCAGCATGCTGCTGAAATCGCTTCTCTTTCCCTTGACATGCTTCATGCAGTAACAAAATTCAAAATTAGGCATAGGCCTAAAGACAAATTAAAAATAAGAATTGGATTACATTCAGGTGAGAATTTTATTTAGTGTTTGAATTATTTTTCTAAAGTTGTACTTTCTAAATAAATGTAAAAAAATTTAGGGCCAGTTTGTGCTGGAGTTGTTGGCAAAAAAATGCCAAGGTATTGTTTATTTGGAGACACTGTCAATACCGCATCTAGAATGGAATCAACTGGATTAGGTAGACTAGACAGTTTTTATGTTTTAAGTTTTCTATTGATAAGCTAAACTAAAATATATTTTTAGCACAAAAAATTCATTGCAGTATAGCAGTTAAAGAATTGCTCGACAGATTAGGAGGGTACATTTTAGAAGAGAGAGGTTTGATCGATATTAAGGGTAAAGGTGAAGTAACAACATATTTTTTAATCGGGGAAGATCCCTGCTTCAGAGCTCTTAGAAAATCAACCAGGGAGGAAAAAATTAGAGAAAATAGGCGTATACCGAGAAGCTCTTTAAAAGTGCCTAAAGGACTGTCTAGGGCGGCGAGCTTTGAATCGCCAAAAAAGTTAAGATTTGCCAACAACACAATGGAATTCAATCCTTACCAAAGGACCAAGCTTGAATCCATCACCGATAATAGCCCTTCAAAATGTTTAGATGTGGAGTTTTGCGACCATCTCAGCGTATCATGTCCTTGCATAGAAAATATTCAGATACGGGTCAATGGTGAAAAACCTAACGAGGCCACAAGCGACCCAGCAATATTTGTAAACGATCAAATCAGAGCTCCGTTACTTTCAAAATTAGAAAGCCATGTTTGATTTAAACAGATTGAGAGAAATAAATAATAAAGTGGCTGTAATAACTGTAACATATTTTGACAATAAATATAATTTTAAAAAGCATAGCCAAAAAATAAACAAACATTATATTCAATAGTTAAATTTAAAAAATTAAAAATCTCAACTGATATTACAAAAATATTAAATATTGGATGATATTTCTGCAAAAATTGTCTTATATCCAAGTATTATAAATATGTAATGTTTTTAATTAGAGCTCTACAAGTAAATAAAAATTATTATTCACAAACAACTGTAAAATTTGATGTAACCCGACTGTCAATTTCTCTATTCATAAAGCTTGACCATTTCAGTCAGCTATGATATAAAATAACCTTTTTTTTTCTTGTTATTATCGTTGTGATTTAAATTTAAAAATAGTGTTACTGAAAGAATGGTTATTAAGCGAATGTTGATAAATGGGCATATCTTTTATGAAAGTGGTTGACATATTTTTTAAAATTTAAAAACCTTTGTGATCTATGGACATTCAAATCCTAAAAGTCTGTATTAAAATAACACAATATTTACATTGCTATTTGTTGATAAAATTGCAATGGCCAATTGGACAAATGTGGTAATATTTCTAAGGGTGAATTTCAGTGGATGTTGACTACTTAGATAAAATAATGTATTTTTGTCATACATAAATATAGATTTGACATGGATAATTTTTAAATTGTATAAATTTACTTTTATAATACACTTATACAATATGGTTCTTTTTTAATGAAATGATTTTAAGCAACATGTTTTACAATGAATGGTGCTGATTTTCAATTGAAAAACCTATATAGTTAAAAATTAAAATTATTTCCCCACTCAATTGTATTCTTGTATGGAAGACTTGTACATATATAAATACAATTTGATAAAAATATATTAATTATTTCCTAATACAATTATGTCTTACTTGTGTATCATTCATGATTATTAAATGGCATCCAATTTATTTAATTTATGTTATCATTCATGTGATTGTATATAAAATAAATAAACAATAAAAGCGTATATAAATGTTGATGCTGCAGTCTACCTTCTTATACCACCCTCAAATCCATATGACATGACTATTTTTTCATAAACTTGGTAGTCCAGGATCAGACCTTGGTCTTGGGGCCACGAGGATGGGACCAGGGGCTACTAACAGTTAGGCATTTCAGGCCCAATGGAATCAGTTCCTAAAACCAAACCCATTCTCTCTTTCACTCACTCTTAAATACATTTTTTCTTATTTATGTACCATTTACTCAGTGAGGCGGTGGAGTACTCGATATTTCTCCATCATCCTTTACACTATTATATAACTAACCTAATTAAGGGTCATGAGTTCTCAATATTCCACCATCGGCCCTCTCATACTAAACATTCCCGCCAATAAATACATATGAACATATGAATCTCCCAGATACTCACTGTTCAAGCATTTCTCATATTGGGTCGCATTCCTACATGCTCACTATATGGAGCCAAATAACTGCACCCTTCAATTAGGTTGGGACAACCTTTCTCTTCATGCCAGACTCATACATGGGCTTTGGCCCAAAAATAAGTGTCCGTATGTCAACCTCACATGCCCTATTCTTAATAGGTGAGGATGACACCCCTTATATGTTTCTTTATTACTACTCAGACCACACTACAATATTTCACTTCAAATTTTCTCACTTTTGTAAATAAAAAGTATACTGTTTTATTAGAACTAAATGTTTAATTATGCTTGTAAAAAATCGCTATTGACAAAATAACAATCCACAGATTAAAATAGTAAGCCATCATCAAGTTATGAAGTTTATTACAAGGGTTTTAAAAAATGAGTGTATAAATTATATAACTGCAGGGCAAGATCAAAATGCATCATTGATCTGACAGAGGGTGTACTTAGGATAAGCATAATTGAGCACAGCACTGAAATTAGATGTCAGTGACCTTTTAAGTATAAGTGGACTTTGGACATATTGGTTTAATTAGAACTGAAATTACACTTTCTAGTTACAGTAGTATTTCTTCTGCGGCGTAGTAAGTACCAAACCATTTTCAACTGTAGTGTTGCTCACATCAATGAACAATTAGGTGTTTTCTCTCCTTCTTTTAAATCTATTTTTATATTGTACATTTGATATAAAATGAATAAATTTGACATGAAAAGTTTGGTTTTATTCAATGCCCCCTAATTAGACTTAATTTATGCCACCCAGAACATCAATGACCCACCATGAGCTGAGGAACCATACAACCCTCCCTGAGCATCTCCATATGAAATTATATCAATCTGAAGGCCAATTCCCAATCAATCTGTAAAGAGTACTCGTCTCCATCGTCTCCAATCTTTCAATGTCCAATTCACATGTTGAAGCCTGACCATTTTCTGAGCTGTGGTAGAGGTCCCTAACCATCCCTTATAGAGGGAACAAACCAACTTTTGTGACAATTCTAAAAGTGAGGTCTGATCTCACACCAATAACAAAATATAAAAGTGGCATGTTTCTTTGGAAATGTATGTCCGATCACCGAATCATAAGCTTTGTGGTGGAGGCAAATAAGTCACAGCAGTTTATAGAACCTAGAAGAAGGACTAACTGAAAATTTGATCAAGCATGTCTTAAGCTAGAAACAGGATTTAACTTTGCAGTTAAAAACATACAGGAACTAGATTAATTTGCTGAAAGGTTGGTTAAGGCTATGAACTACAGCCTATGAAGGATGTAGCTCATTAAAAACCAAAGGAACAAATAGAAGTGTTCTATGGTGGAATAATGAACTAAATGGTCAAAGGGCTAAAGCTAGAAAACTTTTCTATAGATCAAAAATGAAATGTAAAATGGGATGAATACAAAACTCCCTAACTGAATACAATAAAGCTGTGAGAAATTCGAAAAGAAAATCGTGGAGAACTTTCTTTTTTTAAGGGATGAATATACTTCCCATTGCAACAAGAACACAGAAAATTGTATTTTAAAAAAGTGATGGAAAGAAGGGTGGGGGAGAGAGAGAAAGAGTGAGTGAGAGAGAGCGTGCGAGAGTAAGGGGGAGAGAGACAGTCTGATAGAGAGGCAGACCGACAGAATGACAAAGATAAACAGTCAAAAGAAAGGAACAGTTGACTAATTAACTTGTGTGTGGGAACTTGACGAAAATTATCTATGTGAGTGTGTGTTTGTGTTGCCAATACTGACGAAATAATGTGTGTACCACCAGCAGTGCGTAATTTTGAATAGGTTTTCTGTTTTATCTAATGTAAAATAAATTGCGGCAGAGTTAAGAGAAAAAATTAAATGTTCATACAAAATATCCTCCGTTGTAGCAATAATTCAATCTTTACCAAAGGAAGCAACATGATTGGAGCAACAACATGATAAAATTTTAAAATTAATAATAAACAGCAACATAATTGCACACAGAATGCCAAAGTAGACTGAATCGATGGTAATTACGCCGACCATCTTCATTCGGCCCAACTTATGTTAAGCACGCATGCACTTTGAAAACGTAGGAGTTAATGTGAGTTCACTACGGAGTTCAATTCAAGCAATCAACTGTTTTGGCATGTTTGTTGTTTATCGGTTTCATAAATGTAGTTGAGCAAGGCGAGTCGTAGTGTGGAAGGAATATCGGATGAGGCACTCTTGGATCAATTTTTACACGGAGGATTTTCAATTCATTAACTCTTCTCGTATAATTTTTTTGTCTTTTTTTATCGAAACTGGCCGGGCCGGCCATAAACTGGCTTAATTAGAAACCCTGTTGATATTACTCGTATAGTTTTATTGATGATTTTATTTCAAAATAACGAACAAAAAGTTAGAGAAAGTAAATTCCATCTGATAACTAATGAAAAATTCTATTGCCAAAACGCAAATTGCTGTTTAAAAAATTACGAAACCTTGCGGTTTTTTTTCTCTTTTTTTATCTCTAAATTTTAATTTTAATAATTTTTTAAATCAGAAAGAAATGAAATTTGGTGCGGTAGGTAAGTTTTTTAATCTTTCATCAGTGAAACGTAAAATTTGATTAAATCAGTGATTTTCTGCTTCGTCGCGGTTTAGAATTCTTATGTTTCATTCAAATTCGATAAGTAAATTAAATATGAATAGATTGCAATGGTGTAAAGCCAATCTTAAATGTCATAACCATATGAAATCATCAATAATCCCCGATCGATCACTGATTTACAAAAACATGGTTTTTTTCGAGGGTTCGCAACAGCAAAGCAACCCTCGGGGTGCCGGTGTTTTTGAAAAAAAGCCCATTTGTAAATATGTCGGGTTCGAATCCACCGGCCCTGCATTTGTTCGAATGCAGGGCCGGTGGATTCGAACCCGTGACCTTTACCTTACAGTGACGAGCGCTGTGTCAACGACTAACCGTTGCTGCCACCAGCGCCCCCTTTCTTCATTGTTTAGAATTTTTTTTTAATATTAACGTATAACTCTTATTGTAGCTATTTAAAAAATTACCTATTTGATTATGTTAATGAATCCATACCAACGGTAAATCCAAGGAAAATATCAACCCTAAATAATAAAACACGATTTATAAAACTATAGCAACTCTAGAACTTAGCGTAAACTTCGCTATTTGGTGTGAATGAACTCTTGTTACACACTGACAATGTGAGGGCCAGTCAGCGAGAATAGACGAGCCCAGGAATTAATTGAGACCCCATACAATCATAGTCTTTATTAAAAATATCCTGTTCGAGACTGTTGTGAAACGTTCAAATTGAGATTCTCAACGCTGGGGTATTCAAAAACGTATGAATTGAAGAAAAGAAATGTATAATTGCTATGGGATTTTTTAAATTTACAGTGAAAAATGATGATCAATGATTGAGGAAATCGTTATGCAGAGCTGCCCACTCTTGCAGTTTCTTCAAGTCGGCCAAAATTTTTCTCTTGAGTCCCATGGGAAACCTTTATCACTTGAAATAATTAAAGCAATTACATTTCTCCTCTCATAATTACTTTAGTAAATAAAATGAAAGGCTGTGTCGTTTTATTTTTTATTTTTAAATATGGCATTTGCTGAGTGTTTTAATTTTTTTTTTTAACAAACAGTACGTTTGGTTTTCGCCTTCCAGGCAAAAGTTTTATTGAAATTAAGGAAATTTAATTGAAGATCGCAAAAATCGATTGCTTTATTGTTGTTTAATTATTTTTAAACTCATAACGACTGTTCATCTCTTGTACCCTACTAAAAACAAGTGTTATATTAGCGGCGAGATATGGCACCTAAGGGAATTACCAAAAATAAAATACGTTTCCTGCTGATTTATGGGCCACTTTGAGAGACTGTGGGTCTACAATTCAGAGGGGCAGAGCTAAATTTGATAGGTAGGAAATGTTAGCTTTTAACCTCTCCCTCGGCTCGAGGCGAAACAAAAATTGTTGTAGTTGTTAAATTAAATAAAGAACACTGGCCTGTTATACATTTATTAATGTTAGACACATGTTCGTTTTCAATTGTATTTTTAGATTTTGTTGAAAAATATACCCAATAGACATTTACATTGAAAAAAATTGCCCTGAAGTATATTCTACAACAAGGAACTACCGACACTCAAGTCAGATATTTAGGGTTATATTCAGTCAGCAGACGTTGGTATGGTAGGTGATAAGGATACTAGGAAGCAGAGTTTGTACTCCCCAGGCACTGCAGCCTTTTGGCTTATTGTACCTTCCTAGTTCCTTAGTTCGGTGCAATAGACTCTATCCTTCTCCTTAGAAGTATCAGGTCATTGACTGTCGCTACTACAATTTCATTCCCTAAGTTTTTTTCATATGTTAGGTTGAATCTCCATTGTGCTGTTGCTTCGCAGTCGAAGATTTCCTTCTCTGTTTCCTCCTCCTCATTACATAATCTGCAGATGGGATCTTCGTTGTATATGCCCTTGTTGTGTAGATGTTTTCTCAGATGCCACTGACGGGTTAGTAGCCCTATCACTCCTCTGAGTTTAGCCCTCTCCAGTTACAGCAGT